CAGAGCTGTTGGCGCTTCAGGGCATAAGCTGATCAGCAGCTGACGTCTGGGAAAATCTCCCTTTACACTGTGCAAGGTATAACTATGACACAATTAAAGGATTTGTGTAGATTTGAAACCTTCTTCTTTAGCATCGGTCATTTTTTAGCACGACACTGGGTGAAGCAGGACTCTCTTGCAATGTAGTAATGGCAGCGTTGTGGCACTGCATCCACTGACACAATTTAGAGGAAGGACTTAACCAGATAGCGGCAGAGCCAGAGGTCCAAACCCAACCTGCACGCTGCCTCAGCCAGGGTGAGCAGTTTAGACCAGCTGTTTTGAGGTTGGAAGACGGCCCGTTAATCGAGTGCTACCTATATTCTGCATTTGATATTCTTGTTCGGTTTGCTCCTGTTAGCAAATGAGCTGACCTTGTAATTGCCACTTGGCATTTACAGGGGACACGGGAAAATTGCGTCCATTAACAGCAGTAAAAGGATTCAACTTTCAGACACTGCTAGTGAGGCCACTTTTTTGGCTGTGTTTGATAATGGATTTTTCAGATTCATTCTTTAGACTCGGTTAGCGCCAATACGAAATGAATCCTATTGCCCCTCACTTAAAAACTGTCAGGTCAAAACGTGTACATTCCTGTTCAGTCCCCCCCAAAGTCTCATGAGCAACTCTCTGAAAAGCGAAAAGGTTCCAGTTATATATTTTCCATTTTGGGTTATAGCGGCCTCTGACGTTCTTTATCAACACGAACTGAGACCCTGGTAACCAAAATCAGATGCATCATCTTTCTTTGGCTTGTATCATTTTGGCCCTATCAGACTGTGCCTACATTAAAACTGTGCCTACATTAAAACGCAAGGGAAACCTTCGTTAACAGTCTTGGTTTCACTTACAAATTCTGTATGACAACAAATGAAAGCTAATCTTACGTAGGTTTAGGTTTTAAAGGCGTTTGCTTTCTCGAATCCATCCAAGGCACGCTAGTATTGTTCAGTGCAGATTGCTCCATCACGACACGGGCACAGCCCGGGTACTCACATAGGCACGCGCACCCCGGGAAGAACAGCAGTGACAAGTTTCTGGGCTCAGAGGACAAATTTGTGCCATTCCCTCTGGAAGGTAAGTGTCCTCCTTTGCGGGCTGTGAGGTCCGGGTGCAGGAATCATTCAGAAAGTTTGGATGTTCGCTTCTTCATTGGTGGATGTAGGAGGGTAAGTGATGTGGATCCTGATCGCTTCTGACGCATGCCTTCTTTTATGAGGCTGCCTCATAGTTCGAGGTCCGTCGTTCGTGTGTTTTTTCTTTCTTTTCTTTTTTAATGCGAGCACTGGGTTCGTTCTTTCTCTGAAGGTGGCAGCCGTGGAGCCAGAACGTGGCATCGGGGATACCTAAACTGAGGCACTCAACTTGGTGCTGCCCACTTGTCTTGTCCGGTGGTCTGAAAGACTTTCATCCACCCACTGTTTTAAATGTGATCTACCCACAGCCTGCCGGTGAGGGGCATGGGCAAGCACGGCTTGGCCTGACGCAGTATGTGGGCGAGGGGAGAGCGTTCACTGCTTTCCTTCATCGGGAGCAGCGAAGACGGCTCCACACCTAGTTACTGCTCCCAGGAAAGGACGCGTGGCTCTGTGCGTTTGGCAGCAGGAAATCTAAGACATGCTCTGACTGTTGCTCAAAGCATCTAGTGTGTCATGTTCAGAGAAAACTGCTTATTAAAATGCCCCGTGGAGGAAGATTATATACCGTGTATGAGGCGTAGCCAGGTCATTTTCCCCAGCCGTTTCAAACCGTAGCTTCAGAGAGTTCCCAGAGCTACCAGACACCCAGCAGGAGGGATCTGAATACGTTAAAGAGTTTTACCGTCTTGCCGAGGTTCGCAAAGCTGATGCAGGCAGTCCAGTCTCGCCGGGACTTCATCCTGCCTGTCTCAGCTCTCCGCACCGCTTATCGCTGGGAGTGGCTGAGGCTGCGATGCTCCCGGACATCAAGTGTCTTCGCTTGGGCACATAGTCCTTCTGCACCAGAAAGTAACAGGCAGTTTTAAAAGCTGCTCTGAAGCTTGCCAGGTGAAATTTGGGGCTGGTCAGCTTTGCTTTTTCTTTTCATTTACAAACCCAAATGTCTTTTCAGTAATGTGGTGATGAATTTGTTTTGGAAAAAGTGGAAACTCTCCCAAGTGGCCCCATGCTGATAGACCCGCGTGCAGGAGGGCCATACACGGGGCACGCCAGCATGCGCGTGTCCGTGCACACGCGGCGTCACGTCAAGTTTGGCTGGTGGAAACCTGAGCAAGCACGTTCTGCATGTGACGTGTTCCCAGCTGGCCGAGCCGGATACGCTGGTGCAGTGGGCTGACGCTCAGACTTTCGAACGAGCTCTCGCATCCCCTATTTTGAACGGATGCGGCGTCCTGGTGCGTCTCAAGGAGCTGCCACCTTCAGGGAAACTACCTGTGGTCGTCCTTCCCAGAGCGCTCGATCGGAGATGCTTGCTGAGCTTGCGCACCCGCCTGCATGTCGCCCTTCCTTTAAGTCTGGTTTCTCTTGTGCAGGCATCGCTCACTCCAGTGAAGTCGGGAGGAGAAGTGGAGGAGAAACCAAAGCCGAAGGATCGGATCACGTCCTGTCTCTTGGAGAACTGGAACAAAGGAGAAGGGCTGGGCTACGAGGGAATTGGCCTGGGCATTGGGTTGCGAGGAGCCATCCGCCTGCCGTCTTTCAAGGTGAGTCAAAACCCAGCGTGGCGATCGTCCTGAGAGCTTCGTTGCCTCCTTCCTCCCCGCCGCATCCCCCTGAGCTCGTTTCCCAGCTGCCAATGTAAGAGTCAGGTAAGCAATGAGAGAGGCAGAACCTCATTGCTTTTTTAACCCAATGTGAATACGTAACATAACATACAGCCCTGATTACTCCTGCCCTCACTTCCAACCTTCACCAGGAACCTGTGGGAAGGGGGGACCCCTTCTCCCCGTCTTCGTTTCTCTCCTCAGGGAAGCCGGGGGGTTGCCTGGAGCAGAGGAAATGCTGCAGTGCTGGTTTAAAACCTTGCTTCTGCTAACTAGGACCCGGATTGCTCCCGTGGTTATGGGAACAACTCCACTTGCACCAGGGTGGGATTGGGTCATATATTCCTTCATTAATGCAGTTTAAACTTTCTTGCCAGGTAAACTGCCTAATTTGTGTTAGCAGAAAGAGTGTAAAGTTTTACACGTGTGGATTTTCACATGGAGCGGGGAGGAGCTGAGGTAGCTGACGCCTGGTTGCAAAATCCTAGATAGCACTGACCTTGCTTAGCAGTTTCTTGGAGCTCCTCAGGCTCTGGCTCTGTTGCATTTCCCTACGCCTTGGAGCATCGTGGTGGGCTGAGTTTTCTTCAGACTGGTATTGGCTTCAGATGCCTCTGGGAGACGCCGACCGGATAGCGCCGACACGGGTGTTGGTTGGGGCAGAATTTCATTCACAGAAATGCTATTTGTGAGCAAAGCAAAACTGATCAGTCGCTTTTGAGAGGCAGGTGATGCTTTCTGGCCCTGCATCACTCCAGCAAAAAAAAGCCGTTGCAATGCTTGGCAAGTTGGTTTCTTGTGTTTTTTTGAGCCCTTCGAGACATGCTAATTCTGTTCTTTGCTCAGGTGAAGAGAAAGGAGCCGCCCGAAGCTGCCTCAGCAGGGGACCAGAAGAGGATCAGACCCTCCACTTCCATTGACGATGAAGATGAAGGTTTGCAAACCCTCTGCTCTGTGATTGAAACACAAAAGCAAATGCAGAACCATGTCAAAGCAGATTTCTTTGCGCTGTGTTCGTTTCCACACCCCAGCACGGTGCCACCGATACCAAAGGCGTCATGGAAGTCAGCCAGAAAAAGCTGGTTTGCCGGGCACTTGATTTTAAAAATCATTAATTTGCCGAATTGGAACCACACCCTCCCCCCACACACACTCAGCATTTTAAAATATTGTGACCTTGGTAACTTACTTTGCTGCAAACAGGGAAAGCTGCTGCTCCAGGTGGAAGCAGCCTCCCGCCCCCTGGCTCTCCCAGAAGGGCCCGAGTCTTTGGCACCAAATGCCATCTTCCAGCTCTTTCAAGACAAATACAGGTTACATTATAAATCTGCAGCCTGTGAAGGGCGAACACTGTGCCCGTGCACGAAGGGCAGGCCTAGGACGCAGCTACAGTAACCAGAGGGCAGCCAGCACAGCAGTGGTTCAGCACGAAATCAAGCTTGTACCAGGGGCAGGATTGGAAAGGAAGTGGAGGCGCAGTCTGTCTGGGAGAGGGTGCCAAGGAGTCAGCAGTAGCTGGACGGTGGCTGAGGTTTACTGAGCTTTTGCTTCCTTCTCCCGTCTTTGGGCCCATTCGGTCGGGGTGCCCTGGGGTGGAACACGTCCCATTGGCACGTACGGCTTCAGCGAGTGTCGCCGCTCCAAAGTGCCGCGTACTCCTTCGCGCTCCAGCCTTTCTCCTGTGTGCGCACTACTAAAACCCTTGCCCAGGCCCTTGCTGTCATCTCTCCTCACTTCTACAGGCTCCTCTTGCTCACCTTGTCTCCTCCGCATCGACTCCAGTCTCTGTTTGTCGTTGTCCCGCTCTGTCACGTCACTCGTGCAGCTCCGTGCACAGCTCCTTTCTCTCCATTCTTTCCAGGGCAGGGCTCTCCACCCCCACCTTTCCGGCAGGGATCAATAGTCCCTCTCTGCGTCTCTGCCCTGATCTCCTCGTGTGTCACCTTCTCCAGCGCGTTCCTCCCCGCTCACCAGCTTCTCCCACAGATGTTGTCTTTCCTTCCTGCTGCCCCTTTTGCATGGGACATCCAACCCGAGCAGGCCCGGGTCTTGTTCCCCTTTAAATTCCCTCTCGAGATTTAGGAGCACAGGACTGGAAGGGACCTTGTGGGCCAGCATCTCCGGCCCTCTACCTCTGCTGGAGACCTTTTCTCTATATGGGCCCACAAGAGGAGCCACGTTTTGTGGTATATGACACAAAGAAATACCGGGACATGCATAGGTAGAAGCTGTCCGATAGAGAAATGTCACTACACAGCGTGTTTCTACGCAGTGCAAGTGAGTGCCCTTTAACTCAGCTCTATAAGGAGAGACAAGGGCACCACCTAGGCAGCAAATGTAAAATAAACCCCAGGAAGCCTGTGATAAATCGCACCGGCTGCTGGCCCCTGGGGACACCGATATAATCGCTATTTTTGTTCATCTGTATCAAAATGAAACCCCCAAACCACTAGACACCTGCCAAAGGCTAGCCTGAGTCACCACGTCACTGCTCCTTTCTCCTCCACATACGTCCTCTCCTTCTGCTTCTTGCACCCACTCGTTGTGTCACTTGTTAAATTGCAAGATGGATTTGGAGGAGAGGTGGCCTCTTCCATAGCACGCAGGGCGTCTGTCCTGGCCTTGCTGCTCTTGTAAGAACAATGTGAGGAGCTTACACGTGCTGTCTGTCCCCTCCATAGTCTTTGTGTGAAAGCGTCCATTGCAGCTCTCTCCTCTTGTCTTCCTCCACCAGAATCTGAAAGGGACAGAGACGTGCCCGACGTGTCTTCCGACCTGTCCAAGAGCAACGCGGAAGCGGTAGGCGTTAGGCGGCGGCCAGCAAGACCACTGGAGCTGGACAGCGAGGGGGAGGAAGGCGATGAGACTTCGGGCAAAGAAGAAGAATCCTCATCAGAAAAGGAAGAGGAGCCGGAGGAAGCGGGAGGACTGGTGAAAGCAGTGCCTAGCAAGGTGCGTGGCATTTCCTACCAATGTTTTATTTCATTAACCTGGGGAACTCGGCTCTAAGACTGTGCTTTTGACTAAGATCAGCGTCTCGGTCAGGAATCTGAGTAAATGTCATTCCTCGCAGATTCATCATCTATTAACACGCCTTTTATTTGATATTATTGGGCCCGAATGGCAGCCACTAGTTTACTGATGCACAGTCAAATTGTGCACCCAGCACCACTGCCGGCTTAGGTTGGTTTGTGCACTTGTTCCTGGGATAGTCTAACTCCTTAGGAATTTATTGAAGCAGATACAGTTTTCTACAAGGGAAAGTTGTCATAAAAATGCTCAACTTCTTTCTCCCAAAGGAGGAGGAGGAGGAAGAGGATGAAGATGCTGATGAAGAGGAGGAGGAGGAGGAGGAGGATGAAGAAGCAGGCATAGAAATGAATGAAAAGGAAGAGGAGCCAGACTCTGAGGAAGGTGAGCAGTCACCCTGGAAATGGGGGGAACAGGAGTTTGGGGTCAGGTTCGTGTTTTGGCAGCAGCGAGGCCGATCGGCAGGCTCTCCTTACCACCTTAGCACGTATTTCTGCACGCTGGGGTTTAGATCGGGTACTTTGCACGAACCTCGCCATAGGGTTCATCGCATTAAATGAAAACAGCAGCACCTCACCAAATCCAAGCCTCAAGGATGAGATTCAGTTTAAAACTCCCACCGACATCCTCCAGTTAACACACTAAAGGGAATAGTGCGGGGGGTGGGTTGGCAGACCCCAGGGATTTTCTACACTTGCTCCATCCAAGTTCATTAAGGTCCGGATGTTTTCCATCGAGCTGACGGCGTCCTGGGCTGCATTAAGAGGAGCGCTGCCAGCAGACCGAGGGCAGTGATTCTTCCCCTCTATGCGGCACCGGGGAGGCCACGTCTGGAGTCTTGTGTCCAGCTGTGGGCCCCCCGCTGCAGACAGGATGTGGACACATTGGAGAGAGTCCAGATGAGGGCAATGACAGTGGTTGGGGGGGCTGGGGGACAGGACTGGTGAGGAGAGGCAGAAGGAAATGGGCTTAGTCTGCAGAAGAGGAGACCGAGGGGGATTGAATATCAGCCTTCACCTCCCTGCAGGGGGGCTGCAAAGAGGATGGAGCTGGGCTGGTCTCAGTGGGGGCAGACGACAGGACAAGGAGCAATGGGCTTGGGCTGCAGCAAGGAAAGTTGAGGTTGGATATTGGGGAAAACTTTCTCATGAGGAGCGTGGCGAAGCACTGGGACAGGCTCCCCAGAGAGGTGGTGGCACCTCTGTCCTTAGAGGCTTTTAAGGCCCAGGTGGATAAAGCCTTGGCCGGGATGTCATACTTGGGGCTGGTCCTGCTTTGTTTCTCTGATACTGTTTGGTGGCTTTTCCTTGGGAGCACAGAGCTTCTGAGCGGTGATATTTCTGTTTCATGTAATTGAAGAATATGGGGTTTTCTGCATTGATTTCCAGACTTCTAAAAATAAGCTTTTGCCTAAAAAAAAGCCCTGAAAATCAAAGTTGGGGGGAGGAAATCCTGCAAGCCTAAGAAGCGGAGAGTGAGTTCTGTGGTTTCCCCTGTTTATTCAGAGGTCATAAAAGGAAAGTAGTAACACCTTCTTGTCCTTGCAGAAGATGCAGCGAGTCCCTCATCCTCCAAAGCGGAAGTCGAGTCATCCGACGAAAGCGAGGACTCCTCGGAATTTGAGTCCAGTTCTGATTCTGATGAAGACGAGGAGGAAGATGAGGAGGAGGAGGAGGAAGATGAGGAGGAGGAGGAAGATGAGGTGGAAGAGGAGGCAGTGGCTGAAGACCAAGACAGAGAAGGCATGATGGCTGACACCGAGCTTCAGCCTGCCACTCAAGAGCCACCCGATGAAGAAAAAGAGACCATCCTGGAGCTGTATCCGGTGGATGACTACATGGATGCAACCAGCCTGGGACTCGGGGAACCAGCCCTGGTCGAAAAACCAGAAGAAATGGAAGAAATCAAGCCAGGAGAAAATGAGTGTAGTGAAGTGCCGGAAGCATCTATTGCTGCTGAAACTCTGGTGGATATGGAGCGAGAGCAGGAGGAAAAGCTCGTGCCGTCCCCGATCTGCGTGCCAGGTATGGCTTTTCACAGGGCTTTTCTGTCACCCCTGAATCCAAGGTTTGTATTCTCGCACTGCCCGGTACGCGAGCTGTACGGCCTCTCTCGTTCTGTCCTGCGAGGGCTCGACATTTTAACGCCAGCTAAGAGGTGGCTTCGGTTGACTTTAGCACCGAAGGAGACATTTGGCCGGGGAGTGGCAGGAAACAGTCGACCGGGTCTGTGGGAGAGGGGGCGGGGAATGGCAGACCTGTGTTAGGCCCCCACCTGTGCTTGGTTTGCACGTAGCTCCTGTCAGAGAGGTGTTGCTGGGAAAAGGAAATTGTCCTGCCGGTGTCTCCTTTAAATGCCCAGAGCTGGGCGTTGCGTCTGCAGACAGTCTCCAGGCCTCTCAAACAGGAGCGAGATGGGTAAGGCTTTGCAAACCATCGACTCTTCTGGGGAACCAGGGTCTGGCCTTCGCTCCAGCACCGGCCTCCCCGCTGCTGGGATCGGAGAGCGTGGCGGAGGCAAAATGCTTGCCCCTGTCGGACAAAGCAGCAGCTTTCTAAAACAGACTTGTGTCTTCGGAGGACACGGAGCATTTTTGGTGGATTCTGGAGGCGGCTGCATTCAGCTGCAGGAGACCTGGGCAGGCAGCGGGGCATCGCGCTGGAGGCGGGCTGTGGAAATGGGGGTGAATTCAGCGGGGCTTTCATTTAAGACACTCCAGCTCAGTCACCCAAAAGTCAAATGAATGAGACCTTCCTGTGAAGATCAGCCATCCCCCTGCACGCCTTAGTGCAGGCCGGGGAGAGCGTTCCCTCCCAGACACTTCCACACTCTTTTGAATTGCACTCGAAAATGTTATTGCAAGCTGCCGGTAGATCCCGGGCTGGTTCCTTTTGGCCTGGGCCCGGAGGAGGTAAATAAAATCCAGACAAATGAGAGTGTTACTGCTAGAGCAGCATATAAATTGCCTCATTGATACAATCTGAATGCATCCTCATTCATTACAAGGGCTTCCCATTTCTTTCACGTCATGTTCAAGAGCATTAAACTTCTCTCCCCCTGCCCTGTTCCCATCCGCGGAGAGCTGAGCTCTTTCCTTGGCCCTGCAGTTAGTTTACCTCCTCCATTAAAAAAAAAAATTGACAGCTCCAGGCTCTGACAACCTGTAAACTCACACCCTCTCCCGACAAGCCACTAAAGCTTTTTCTGGCCGTAAAAAGCCAGCCAAGGGTTTTGTAAGCAGGAAGCCTTAGCTTTACCCTCTGTAGTACCTAATACTCAAATTAATAGTATGGTGTTTTTTTCCGGTCCATTAGGGATATCTGCGGTGGCTTCTAATTACTCTGCTGTACGTGCTTCCAAAACGTGAAGTTTCTGCAGGCTCCCCGCGGACTGGAGCTGGCTGCGCGATTGCAGCGTCTTTAACATGTGCGCGCTGGGACGTGCTTAGCGCCTGAGCGGCGGTAACTCTCTTCTCTTTTCCCGCAGTGGGGGAGCCTGAGCCAGACGCTGCGCCAGAGCCCGAAGCACTCGAGGGTCCAAAGCCTGAATCTCAAGGTGAAGAAGAGAGCGTCTGTCCCCCGACACCAGCGGGAGCGTTTGGAGAGCCCCTGCCCAGCAAGAGCAGCTTCTTCAGCAAGTCCGACGACAGTGATGTAGAAGCGCGAGTTAAGGTGAGAGTTTCCTCTGCAGCAGAGGAAGAGGACAGACTGCCTCGGACTCCTGGACGGGAGGCGACGGTCCATTCGGATCCTGATACTCCCATACTTCCCGCTCATAAGGCGCCACCCTCTACGCTTCCCCTGCCATCCACGCCCAGCAAAGAGGATCCTTTGCTCCCTCCAGAGAGGTTCCCAGAACAGCTAACTGTGACCAAAACACCCCTGGAAGAGGATATCCCCAGGACACCCGGGCGGGACATTTCAGCCAAGTCTCCGCACATCCTTGCAAAGTCGCAGAGTACTGACACTATTCCAGTCACCCCCGGAAGCGACGGTCCGCTCACAGGGAGCAGCCTGGCCTTAAGTTCCCCCCAGGTCCCAGGGAGCCCCTTTTCCTACCCATCCCAGTCTCCTGGGATCAACAGTGGCATTCCTCGAACTCCCGGGAGGGATTTTAACTTCACACCCACGTTCTCCGAGACCGGTGCTACCATTCCTTGCCTGTTGTCTGGCAAGAAGCCATCCGAGGATGAGCTAGATGAGAAACCTTTCAAAGAACCTCCTAGTGCTTCCTTAATGGTCAGCGTGAACAGTGTCCCTTCCCCCATTCCCTTTGCCAGCCCTCCCAATGCAGATTTCCACACAGACCTAGAGTTGCCACCCGTCGAGGTGGTGCCGGGGGCAGCTCTGCCATGCACGCCAGCAGACGGGAAGATATCCAGAGAGGACGGCAAGGCAGAAGTGAAATCGGTTTTGCTCTCGCCGGAAGCACCTCTCATTGCTGCTGCTATTCTTCCTCCCCCTCCTCCTCCTCCTTCCGTTCTGCCCCCCAAAAGGAAACCGGGTCGGCCGAAACGATCGCCCCCCTCTGTCCTTTCGCTGGATGCCTATTCTGGCAGACCCGTGGATCCTCCTCCTGTCCCAGTGGCCTTGATGGAAAGTGCCGTGAGCAAAGAGCTGCTGGGCGGACATCCCGATGCTTTTTATGGGTTGAAAGTTCCTGAAGCAGTCACCCTGGACTTCAGGAATGACGGCTTCCACGAGAAGGTGCCCCCGGAGGCCGTAGCCGAGAAACTCCCGTTTAAGGAACTGGAGAACCAGTGGAACGAGGATTTCAAAGAAGAAGAGCTTCACGCGAAACCTAAAAGACAGTGGCGAAGGCAGAAGAAGACACCTGAGGACATCCCACTTATTCCTTCCCCGGAGTATTCCCCACCCCGGCCTGTCTTCAGGCCCCGCTCCGAGTTTGAGGAGATGACCATTTTGTACGATATTTGGAACGGGGGAATAGACGAAGAAGACATCAAGTTCATGTGCATCACGTACGACCGCTTGTTGCAGCAAGATAATGGTATGGACTGGCTCAACGATACCCTGTGGGTATACCACCCTCATATCCTTTCTCGCCGGCGGCGTGTATTCTGCGGAAATACCGTTTCCGTGCAATAGTTACTGTTCTAATCACAGTCTTCCCTTACAGGTTCAAATTAATTGCTGGCGTAACCGTTGACTTAATAGGATTGCATTTATTTATCAGCTGCGAATTCGGCTCACGGAGAATGTTTTAATCACAGAAGTGGGCAAGCCCAGATTCGGTGGACCAGGTTTCTGATCTCTGTGTTTCCAGCTGAACGAGAAACGAGCACCGCGAGAAAATCTGTATGCGTAGCCCTTCTTGGGAAATTGCCGTTCCAGCCCAAAGCTCTTCTGTCTGGGTCTAAACCAGACGTTTCTTAGGTTTGCCCAGTGTTCGTTTCTGTGCCTCAGCTGGAGGATGCTTTCCCTGGGGTAAAATTTGCTGTAGGAAATCTCACCATCTGCCCCCAAATAATTTTCTTTCAGTGCTTGCAGCTTAACAGGGTTTGACTTAAACTAGTAATAATACGAGTGGTGATGTGTAGAGACACGTGAGCAGGCAGTCAAACAGCCCATGCTGTAGTTGATGACTTTTGGTGCTTTGGTGAGAGCGGTAGGATTCAAAGTGCCAACTGCTCATGGGCAACAATAAGCTTGAATGCATATTTTGATATGCCTCTCCGAAAGCAGTGCAAAGGTCCTGTAGCTGCCCGTACGTAATCTTTAAATGCTCGTTACGTTTTTAGACTGAAAATAGACATTGAGTGAAAATATCCCATCCCATCCCATTTGGCCGCAGGTAAAATAGTGTTTTCTTTTGGGGTTTTGTAATAAATGTCAGTAAAACATGCCTCAGACTAGTAACGGTGTCAAAACTGGTACGGGCTTTTCTAATTCTCTGTTTTGTTTCCTAATTCAAAGGGCGTAATTTAATGACACCACATCAGACTAACCTCTGATTCTCTGCCTTTTGGTGACATATGTCTTATCTTTGGAAAAGTATTTATTTTACTCGTTCGGGAAAATCCAAATGGAGAGAAAATTAACCGCCCCTCATAGTTTTTGGCACAGGGCTATTATAAAACCACTTATTTTAAAATATCTTGTGTCGTCCTCCTTTGAAAACTCAGTCACAAGAATAAATCTGTTCTAAAGTGAAAGGTAACTGGCTTCCACTTGTAGCGTTTCACGCGGTAGGGAAGGCCGGACAGGACAGCAGAAGGCAGACATGATTTCCTTTAAAGAAGTTTTATGCACGGTGGTATTTTGGCAACTTGCATAATAGCGACATTAGAGATTTGCACTCTACCAGCAGAAGTTACTCTGCCACCAGCCCCCCGGCCACTGTCTGATCCAGTTATAAGCAATCTCTAATTTCCCAGTGAAGCCTCCACTCCTACACCATTACATAGGTAACTTTATAAAAGTATTATTTCAGGGCTTATATTTCTTATAGCAAAGCTTTAATCCAAGCTGTGGAAGATTGTCACGGCTGTTTGTTCTTGTTACAAGCGTTTTGATTCAATCCCATGGTGTAAGAGGCCATGATATAAATGCAGAAAGCATCCTTCAGTAGACGGAAAGGGTCACGAGCATCATCGAGCGCACGTTTATGGCACAAGCTCCCAGATGATACGACTCCACGGCCGTGCGTATCACTTATTCTAGAAGCAGGCATGCTTGGGAGTGTAAAACGGCTGCCACCTGAATACAGATGTGTTTTAACATTGGCCGACAGAAGTGTTGTTAAAAGATGAGGACTTTTCAAGGTGTGAGAAGTCTGGTATGTTTTGCCAGGTTAACTGTAGTCCCCGAAACCTTCTTGAGGTTAGATGCACTGTTGAGAGTGAATGAAATAATTTTTCAAGCTAATTATTCCTCTGCTTTTCCTTGTGGCGGGAAACTGTGCTGGTTATTTCACTTGGACATCCAGTTTCCTTGTTCGCTTCTCTTGCATTAACTCAGCCTGCAAACATGGGAGGGTTGTTTTTTCAAGTGAAAAATGCAGTCTCTGTTAGCGGGGAAAATCCTGCAAGTAGTTGGTTTTCCCGAGGGGGAAAAGACTAAATGTGGCTGGCTGACATTCTTTTAATTAATTTTACTTTTCATGCAGCTGGGGAAAAAAGTTTGGCCAATCATTTTCTTCTTTTTCTGATTAAATGTGAAACATTTTGAAGATGCCGCTAACCAGTGCCAATACACAAAGCAGCTGAGGACAGTCAGTAATGGACATCGATCTGCTAATAGTTGAAATGGTTGCTGAACTCAAGAGCTCATTTTAAGACTATACGGTGAAAATGAAGAGTGGTGTCAGTTTTTTGTCTCCTGGTTTGATGGTGTACAATAATGCTTTGTCTTCCTGCATTGCCTTCACCCTAGGACCTCAAAGCACTTAACAAAAACACATGAATCCTGGCTGCAAAAGAAAGACTCTTGTCCCAGCTTTCTAGCGGTAGGATCTCGCCCCCGGCAGACGGGATCGGCGGCAGAGCTGAGGATACGGTTGGCCCCAGCTCTGCCCGCGCCTGTTCCCAGACACACGTTAAGGAGAGAAGAGGGGCTGTGAATGATTCCTGTTCTGTTTTCCAACCGGGGTAGCCTGGCTTTAGGTTTGAATTGACTGAAGAGCTCAGAAGGGCTTTGGGAACATGGGCACAGGGTCTGTCAGAGTCGCTGGGAGCTGTGCTACCGAGAGCAAGACCTACGAGCCCTTTGAGACGAGAAATGTCTTGTTGCCCATCTGGGCAGCGTCTAGCAGGAGAGAGCGCAGGGGCCGTGCTGCACGGGTATGCAGGGAGCGTCCTGGTGGCGCCCTGAAACATTGCAAGGGATTTCTGGGGACGGTATAAATGAGGGACGCTGAAAACATTGAACAAACTGCTGAACTAGATAGTCAAGCAGCTTCTGCCTCGGCCCACGAGCTTCTTTGGCAGAGCAATCGTATAAGCAACTGCCTGCTGTTGAAGCGTGGACCTTTGGCTATTTTCCTCTGTTTCACTGTGTCTCTTCGTACTCCTTTTCTCCTTTGCTGTCCCAGAGCATCGCAGGCACAAGTGGAGGGAGCGTGCCAGGTTCCTGTGGGTAGGCAGGGCATCTGGGGTCTCTTTACAAACCTGAACACCTTTCTCATTTCTGGAGCCCGTGGAGGGGGCCAGATTGTCGTCCCTGGACACAGATGTCCTTGCGGCAATGACGCGTCATGTGCAGCACGGATAGTGTCAGGATGAACTTCTCCCACACTGCCCCCTCCCCAGCCTAGAGGCGAGGCTTTAGATTGACTTCCTTCGGCCATTCAGTCCCTCTTTGATGAGAGGGTTAGCTAGCGGTGGCATTTGTCCTGAAGCAGATGTCTCGGGTCATGCCATGTCCTTTTCCATTCTCTAGCCACTTGCTTTTATTTGAGCACTGGACGCGCTCACGCGACTGCAAAAACCAGCCTGTTCTGTCGGTGCTGCTTTCCGTGCATAGCCCGTTTTCTCCTTAACTTCATTCCACCTACCAGCTTTTCCACCCCGAAGAAGAAGAAGCGGGACGATGGGATGCGGGAGCACGTTACCGGCTGTGCACGAAGCGAAGGCTATTACAAAATCGATAAGAAGGACAAACTTAAATACCTCAACAACAGCCGCGCGTTCGCAGAGGAGCCGCCAGCTGATACGCAGGTGAGGAGCTGCGTACCGCTGCTTACCTCTTACCTTACCAGGATTGGGCTTGAGCTCACGTGTTGGCAATGCGGGAGCAATGCTTTTCTCTCCGGTGTGGAATGAAGTTAGTCTCCCAGCCGGGTTGTAGGGGGTCCTGCCCTGTTGGCCGTATTGTCTTTCGGAGGCGAGAGACCTCTGTCTCCGTTAGTCGAGCAAGTATACGGGATCCATCACTAACTCGTCGACTCTGCCGCTGGGAGTTGTATCATGGCTGCTTTATTCCTCCCAGCTGCGGGGGCACGTTTCATTGGGAGCTGTACTGAATCAGTCCTGATGTACGTCCATAGTTTGCTGTGCTTTGAGGATGTTCCATGAGTCTGTACGAAAGGCCTTATGTTATGGGGGTTGCGAGGTATCACACTGCAGACAGGGAGCTGACACGCAGTGCTTAGAGGCGTGGAAGGGTGCCTGCATGATGATGAGGAGACTGAGTTGAATACACACATATACACATTGGCCAAAGATACAAGCAGGGAAACCAAGCACTCCTACTTAGCACTCCGGAAA